TTTGTCGGTTTGGATCCTGGGTGCGGACATGGCACTGCTCACTGAGCCACGCTGAGGTGGCGTCCCACATGCCACAACTAGAAGGACCCACAACTGAGAATATACAACTACGTACCGGGGGGCTTTGGGGAGAAAAAGGAAAAAAAATACATTAAAAAAAAATAAGAAAAGGGCCTGTGTGGGGGCCTTCTTTTGACGGTAGATATGGGGGTGTCAGGCCATTAACTTGGTGAACTTTAGTTTATGGTCATGTAGTCTTGTTTTAGGTACATCTTATATCTTTAATTTTTCATTAAGTTTTTGCAATGAAACATTCAGTGATCTATTTTTGGAACTTTGAAGCTTTGTTTTTAAGTGCATTTCTTAAATGATCTTGTCTAATGGAACATTCCTCATAGTAGCCATTGTTATTTCCTGAGAGCTGACAGCAGTTTGGTGGGACCCTTAGCTGTAAATGGAGCATCACCCACGTTTCTGTACAGCCTGATCTAGCTGCACATGGGGTGCAACCCACACTTCTACCCAGCCTTGTGTTGGAAAAGCAAAGTTTAAGTGACTTTGTTAGATTATTCAAACACTGGGTTTATGTCGCTTAAAATGACAAAGAGATTCCAAAGCAGCTCCAGTGTTGAGCAGAGCAACACAGTCAGAGACCCAAGCTAAGGCCCCCCTGGGCCTGCAGAGGGAAAGCCTTGAAGGCCCAGTTGTCCTTCCTGGGGAGCCACCCCCTGCAGGTGTCCTACTGCTCACACCCCCATGGAAGGAGCCTTTGTCCTGAGAGGAGCTGCAGAGCCCTGGAAAGCTAGGGATGGACGTGCTCATGGGGTGGGGAATGATGCCCTTTCTGAGGTTGTGGTTGGTTCCTTAGGCCTGGACATTTTAGACATTGTTTGAGTTTTGCACCCACACTGTAGGTGCACTGAGAGTGTAATCTGTGCACAGTGAGGAAGTCTGTGAAGATCAGGTGTTGTGTCCTGTGGACAAAGCGTTCATGAATTTGGAGTTCATGTGGGTCAGAAGCTTAAACTGAATCTGACTGAGAGTTTCCTCCCATGTGAGAATGGGAGCCTGGGGGAGGCAGTGCTTCCATGCTCACAGGAGAGGGAGTGTGTGTGGGGCTCCCAGAGTGCATTTCTGTGGCTGCTCTGGGGTCCCCACCCTCCTTCACCAGGGACTGACCCACTCCAGGGGTTACATCTCAACCAGGAGAGTCTAGACCCCAAGTTTGGGAATATGGTCAACTTTCTGAATGTGAGTTTTCCTTCTGAACGATAGGCAAGCAGGCTGCTTCTATGAGCTGATTTGAATAAATATTCTGTCCTTGGATTCCTTTATGAATTAAAGATTGCTGCCCTTTGATTCTAGTTTCCATTAGCACTTGGGGTTTTAAAATGTAAGTTGAGGGCCTGGCCTGGTGGTGCAGCGGTTGTGTGTGCACGTTCCGCTTCTCGGCGGCCCGGGGTTCACCGGTTTGGATCCCGGGTGCGGACATGGCACTGCTTGGCAAGCCATGCTGTGGCAGGCATCCCACATGTAAAGCAGAGGAAGATGGGCACGGATGTTAGCTCAGGGCCAGCCTTCCTCAGCAAAAAGAGGAGGATTGGCAGCAGTTAGCTCAGGGCTAATCTTCCTCTAAAAAAATAAAAGTTAAAAAAATAATAAAATAAAATAAAGTTGATTGAGAGATATGATGTAAGACAAGAAAATTGTTGAACCTAATAGAAGTTTGGGTCCATTTAGGCAAGAGAGTCTCATGATGTGAGACGGGTGTACCTAAGTTGTCATGTGCGTTTTCCAATTTTAGGTCAGTTTTTGTGTCCATGTTCCTACAAAGCTTTGACATTTAAAAGGCTATATTATTCCTAAGGCAAACGAATTCCTATTTTAATGGATGCGAGGAAGAAGCACTTGAATTTCTATTTGCAGTGATATGAGGAACCAGGTCAAAGCTTATGTAAATCCTGGGAGTTCCTAGTTTATCACAGGGCTTAATTGCAAACGCCTTATGCATTACAATCTGCTACTCCTTCCTAAAAATATTCCCAGTGTGAATATAGTGGACGGACAGGCTATAATGCCCCTTGTCCTTTTTGCTGGAAAAACATTGGTAAATTTTGTATCGTCTGCTGTTTTATATCCATTAGTGTTTAAAGGATTATATCGGAGTGGTTTCCTATGTAGAGATGTTAAAATTAAGTTAATTTTATAAAGCAGAAGTTAGTTAAAAATAAAGACCAAGCATAAGAAAATATAGTGTATATGAATTTCTCTTATTTTAAATAGATAGTGCATGCAAAGGTCTAAAAATTTCCTAAGAGAGGAAACTCACTTAAGGAGACTCCCCGCCTGCTCGTCCTGCCCCGCTCCTCTGCTCTGACTCCAGCCTCCCTCACATGACCAGTGTTGCTCACTGCTTCACCATCCTGTTAGTGCTTCTTTATGTAAAAACAAGCCAGTGTGAATGCCTCTTTTCTTCCCCCGTCTCTTCTTGTAATGAGTGGCCAGGGTCCACATATTTGCTGTTTGACTTCTGAACACTTAAGCCTCGCCCTCCCTTTTCCCCTGGGCCTTCTTACCTGGACAGGCTGATGAGAAAGCCTGGAGGCTCCTGCACTGTGGGCTGCATGCTGGGCAGCTCCTCCTGTGCGCCGTGCTGCCCTGTGTTGCACTGTTGACCCCACCAAGCCTGGGTTGTAATTGCAGAGGACTCTGAGTTCACAGTTTTGATAATTCTTTGTCCTTGGGAAGCAGGAGTGTGATAATGGCACCATCCTTATTGTAGGCCATGTGCTATGTCTGGGGCAGAATCTGGGTGTTTACAGTGATGGTGAAACTGAGGCTGGGGTTGCCTTGACATTAGGGGATGTGTAGGGTTATGAGGATGATTATGTTCTGTGAATGAGGTAAACCCATTAGATAGCCACTCCTTAAAGAGCAATTATTTCAGAGAGAAAGAAGAGACAGGAAAAAGCAGCCAGTAGGTGTTGAGATTCCATAGGGCTCACCAGGACCCTTAAGTCACTTTGCTGCTGCTGTCACCCCTGCATGCGTTGCAACAAAGATCCTGACCCTCTGGGTTGTAGTGGACAACACCACAGTCTGAGTTTGGACCATTAAAGGGATTATTTCAAACCAGACTTAAGCCCAGGTCCGTTAAACTCTAGAAAGCAACCAGTTGTCATGGAGGCCTCTGACCCTGATGGCAGTGATGTGAGGCTCCCAGAGGAGGACCTTAAGTTGTCCATAGGCTTCTGATGCAAGAAACTGCCCCATGTCCCACATTGTCTGCCATTAGAGCTGCTGTCATCCTCTCATACTGAGATCTGTTAAAAATAGAGGCTCTGAGAAGCGCTCAGCATGTGACCCTCGACAAGGCACCTGTTATGCCTTTGGTGCTGGAAACAGTCCCCTGCCAGCTCAGCCTGGCTACCGACACCTGCTTGTGATGTGAAGGAGCCCAGCCCTGGCCGTGCAGCGTATGCCACCTGCTGAGGGGCATCGCCTTTCTTCAGTTCATTGAACAATGCTAGGGTGGTGGAGGAGGCCACCCCTCTCCCAGACACCTTGGTTCCCTGGGTAGTTCCTGGGGATTAATTGAACACACAGCACTGGGGAGTGCATAGACTTTGATGACATTACACATTTGTACATGATGGAGCTCAGTGGAGAGTTGCTGCTCTTCATTCCTTAATTGGGACATCCCTGATGAAGAACCAAACTTGTGTCACCAGAGGCAACCAAAGAGCAGGCAGTCATCGTACTACTGGCAAAAAGTTGGGCTCATCTGTGTATGTTCACAAACACTTGGATGATTGTCTAGGAGATGACCCTTTATGGTAAGGGAACTCTGGGAATCTCTTGACTCAGAGATAATGAAAAGAGAAATCAACATAACCCTTGTGTGTACATTACTAGGTCTACAATACAAGGACTCACCAGGACACTCGTCATCCACCTTGGAGTTCTGCCTCTACTGGTAGTGACCATGGCGCTTTTCAGAGGATACAGTGCTCTGCTCTCCTACAAGGAATTTGATGGAAGTTTCACCTCCCTTATGGGTCTCAGGCTCATAGAGCACCTTTCTGTCCTATTGAAATCAGTTGAATGAAAAATGTCTTGTTTCACTCATCAGGGGTGAATTAGAAAGAGTCTGTCTTCATCTTGTTTTTGAAAGACTCCAGTTTTTTTTAGAACAGCTTGTTTACAGAAAAAGTGATCAAAATTCACAGTTTCCACGTAACCCTTTTCTCTGCTTCTGCAGTTTGCACTGTTTTTTCACTTTCTGTATTACTGTGTGTTACAATTTCTGACCCATATTGATGCATTGCCATGCACAGTGTATATTAGCATTAACTCTTTATGCTATTCAATGTATGAGTTTTGATAAATGTGTAATGACAGATCTATCATTTCTGTATCATGGAGTGTAGTTTCACTTGCCTGAAAATCCTCAGTGCCCAGTCTACTTACTGATTCATCTCTCCTTCCATCCCCCAAGCTCTTCCCAACCAGTAGAAAGCTACTGGCTCATGCTTTTGTCTTTTCCAGAATGTCATGTAGTTGGAATCATACACTACATGCACTACATAGTCTTGCCACGTTGGCTTCTTTACTTGACAATAGGCTTTTAAGTTTCCTCCATGTGTTTTCATGGCTTGATACCTCATTTATTTTTATCACTGCACAGTATTTCATTGTACGGATGCACCAATGATTATTTTTGTGTATTTGACTCTTGAAGGACATCTTGCTTAAAACTCTCTCTTGCCAATTACAAATTAGGTGCCTGTAAACATTCCTGTGTAGGTTTTGTGTGGACATAAGGTTCCAACTCATTTGGAAAAAATCCCCGAGAGCCTTATTTTGGTATCTTACTCTAGGTAGCAACAGTGTATTTTGTTTTTAAAGAAACTTCCTGTCTTCTGCTGTAGGTGGAGCAAATTCCGTGTCCACCAGCAAAGAGTGAGGATACCTGGAGCTTTGCATCTTTACCGGTATTTGATGCTCTGAGGGTTTTGCACTTCACCCATTTAATAAGTGTTGAATGATACCTCATTGTTGTCCTGTTTGTAATTTCCTAATGACATTTGATGTGAAGCATGTTTTTATATTGCTCTTTTGCTGTCTATATATCTTCTTCAGTGAGCTGTCTGTTAGATCTTTTGCCCGATTTTCTAATTGGGTTGTTATTCTTTGGCTGTTGAGTTTTAAGAGTTCTTTGGATATTTCTGATACCATTCATTTATCTGATGAGCGTTTTACAAAGAATATCTCTTACTCTGTAAATTATGTTTTTATTCTCTTAACGCTGTCTTTCTGAGAGCAGGAGGTTTTAATTTTAATGAAGTAAAATTTTTGTTTTGGTTTTTTTTTTGGTAGACCCTGGGTTTCGGTTTTGTATCTACAAATTCATCTTGCAACCTGAAGTCATCTAGATTTTCTCTGTTATCTTCTAGGAGTTTATTCCTTTGGCATTTTACATTTAGATCTGTGACATGTTTTGACTTAGTTTTTGTGAAAGGTGTATGGCCTATGTCTACACGCATTGTGTGCGTGTTTGCATGTGGATATCCATTTTCCCACTTCTATTTGTTTAAAAAATTTCTTTTTCATCTGCTTTGCTTTTCCTTCTTTATCAAAGATCACTTGAGTATATTTGTGTGGGTCTGTAAGGAAAGCATTGACTCACATATCCTTCAGCCTTGCTGTACTTTTTTATTAATTCTAGGAGTTGTTTCTCTTGTTGTGAATTCTTTTAGATGTTTCACCAAGACAATCATCCCATATGGAAAAAAATGATATGAATTTAGCAACGGATTCATAAAGGTCTTCCATCTCAAGAAGTGGAAGTTCTGCTCTATTACTAGTTTGTCATAAATGAATGTTGGATTTTATCAAATCCTTTTTGATTTTCATTTCCCCCTCCTTTCCTTTTTTGTAGTAGTAATATCTGTCCTCCCTCTTTTCTTTGTTATCTTGACTAGATGTTTATCAATTTTATTAGTCTTGTCTAAGAACCAGGTTTATTTGTTTTAATTTGCTCCATTGATTTCCCACAATGACATTGATTCCTTTTTAATTTTGGTTATTTCATTTATTGTGCTTACTTTGGACTTTGCTTGCTCTTTTTTGTATTGCTTCTTAAGGTAGATGCTTATATCAATGACTGTAGATCTCTGGTTTTTCCAGTATATTTGTTCACTGGCATAAATTTCCCTCTAGGCACTGCTTTTGCTGCATCCAAGTATCTTTTGTATGTTGTAATTTCATTTCATTTCATTAAGTTCAAAATAAGTTTTCAATTTTCTTGAGACTTTTTTCATCTTACATATTACTTAGAAATGTATTGTTGAATCTCCACATACTTGCGGGTTTCCAACTATCTTGTTATTGACCTCCATATGAATGCCTAGGTGGCGTGAGAGCATATTTTCTATGATTTCTGTTCTTTGAAATTTGTTAAGATGTCCCTTTTTTCCCCAGAGGTTGTTGAATTCTCCAGCTGTTGAACTAGATTCATCTATTTCTGCTTGCATTCTGTCAGCTCCTGTCTTATGTATTTTAGCCCTCTGTCATACACATACACATGAAGGATGGCTGTGCCTGCTTGGAGAACAGACTTCTTCATCAGTATGTAATACCCCTTGTATCTCTGCATTGTCTATAATTCATATACCTATGCCAGCTCTCTTTTGACCTGTGTTGGCATGAGATATTTCTCTCCATCCCTTTACACTACGTCAGTCTGTGTCTTTATATTGAAAATGGGTGTCTTGTAGACAGTATATAATTGTTTGTTTTTTAAAATCTGATATTATGATATCCTTCAATTTTATTGAGACCATTGTTGATTAAAGTTTTTTTGTGTTTTTTTTTTTTGAGGAAGATTAGCCCTGAGCTAACATCCATGCCTATCTTCCTCTACTTTATATGTGGGATGCCTACCACAGCATGGCTTGCCAAGCAGTGCCATGTCCACACCTAGGATCTGAACTGGTGAACCCCGGGCAGCTGAAGCGGAATGTGCAAACTTAACCGCTGCACCACCAGGCCGGCCCCTAAAGTGGTTTTTGATACAGCTGGATTAATATTTAGCACCTCTGTTACTGTTTTTTAATCACTCTTGTTTGTTTTTTTTTTGTCTTCCACATTTTTCCCATATTCTCTGCCTGAAATAGAGCATTTTATCTGATTCTTTTGTTTCCCTTCTCTTAGCATATCAATTACACATTTTTTAAAAAGCTCTTTTAGTGGTTGCCTTTGAGGTTTCAGTACACATTTGTAACTAACCCACATTTTCTGCCAGATAACTTTATACAACTTCATTGTATGCAAGTACTTCATAACAAACTGTTCACAATTTCCCCTTCCCTGTTCCTTGTGACATTGCTGTCATTTATTTCACTTGTCTTAAGCTTCTCATTACCAAATAAATTTTTGCTAATATTGTTTTAAACAAAGTTATCTGTTCTATTAATTATAAATATATAAAAAATATTTTACCTTCATTTTTTCTTTTTTAATCCTCTACATTTATCTTTTACATTCTTTCTGATAAATTTTTGAACATTTCATTCAAAGTGGGTGCACTCATGACAAATTTGCTCAAATTTTGTCTCAGAAAGTCTTAATTTTTACCTTACTTTTGATGGATAATTTTGCTTGACAGAGAATGTATTCAGAAATGTCTTCTTTGTCATTTTCAATATATGCTCTGTCTTTTATTTCTCTGTGGTTTGAATGTGATATTCTTTGGTGTGCCCTTGAGTTTATCATGTTTACTGTTCTCTGAGTTTCTGGAATGTGCAGTTTGCTGGCTATGATTAACTTTAGGCTATTTTGTTGATTATTACTTCTTGTTTCCTCCCTTACTTTCTGTCTTTGTTTTCCTTCAGATATTTCCGTTATGTGTATTTTAATCCTTGTTAAAAGAGTGTTGTCCTAGGCTTCACAGATATTGTTTTCTTTCTTTTTTGTTTCATAATTTTAATATTTGTTTCATTGCATGGCATCTCTGTCATTTTCAAACATGCTTCCGACCCTCCCATTACAGAGAAATATGAAATGTGATCACAGTAAAAATGTGTAAATAATTTCCAAGTGTTCATGATGCTGTTAAATTGATGAGGAAGTGTGTACAGAAAAACAGTTTTTGATGATCACATCATGGAATGTTTGGAGATGACAGAGTCACACATAACCTTCCTAGAATTGGCGTATAGCTCCCCAGTACTTTCAGTCTTATGCATCCTGCTCTACACACATTTGTGGTGTTTTAGGACTCAGTGGTCATTGAGGACGTGGCTGTGAACTTCACCCCAGAGGAGTGGCCTTTACTGGATCCTTCACAGAAGAAACTCTACAGAGATGTGATGTGGGAAACCTTCTGGAACTTGGTCTCAGTAGGTAAGAATGCAGACATTCCTTCACTGCATCAATGAGAGAAAAAGTCTTTCCTATCCATCATCATTGTTCCAAGATGTAGAATGTGGAAAGGGAAGATATAGATAAATAAACTAGAAATGGTCATAGCTCATCATGGTCTTCAAATCTAAAGTTTTTTCTACAATGTCCAATAAGTTGGAATCAACTTTCTGGGTCTGCATTTCAGGAAAAACGTGGGAAGATCATGATGTTGAAGATCAGTACAGTAACTAAGTGAGAAAACAAAGGTGAGTCACACTCAGAATAGAAAGCAGTGTCTCACGTGAGAATCCTCGTATGTTATGAAATTTTACAAAGAAGCAAACAAAACAAATAAGCTGTGCTTCAATTTTAGCTATTCTTAGAAAATTTTCACCAAATATACTTTCTAAAATGTGATCTAGAGGTTCAACTTTTGCAGAGTAATTCACTTGGAAACAGTTTTAATAAACCCTGGATGTGAATATCACTGGATAATAGCAAGTGTGAGATCCTCTTGTAGAGCATTCAGTATATTCAATTTCCGAGAATTCAGACAAGACAGATAGAAAACCTTAACTTTTCCTGCAAATTATAATAAATATAACAAATATAACATCGTTAATAAAGGAATCATTAATAATGTGCTTCTCATTTTTTACAGAAAGTGTATGATACTGAAACTCTGTGAAAATGAAGAGGGCAGTCAATGTGGAGAAAACCTCAGCAATATTCCAAATCTTGATCTGAAGAAGAAAACTACTGTAGCGATACCGTATAAATATAGTCCATGTGGAAAAGTCTTCATGCATCATTCATCCATGAAATGCTGCATTAGCTGTCTTACTGAATGCAAACCATATGACTATCAAGAATATGGAGAAAAGCCATATAAATGTAAGGAATGTGGGAAAGCTTTCACTTTTCCCAGTGTTCCTCGAAGGCATGAAAGAACTCATACTGGAGAGAAACCCTATGAATGTGAAGAATGTGGGAAAGCCTTTACTGCTCGCATCAACCTTCGATCACACATGATCTTTCACACTGAAGATGGAGCTTATAAATGTAAGGAATGTAAGAAAGTATTTGTTTCTCCTAGTGCATTCCAAATACATGAAAGGAGTCACACTGGAGAGAAACCCTATGAATGTAAAAATTGTGGTCAAGCATTCAGACATCCCAGAACTCTTCGAATGCGTGAAAGACAACTCAGTGGAAAGAAACCCTATAACTGCAAGGAATGTGGGAAAAGCTTTATTGCTCTCAGAAACCTTCGAGTACACATGATCACTCACAGTGGAGATAGACATTATAAATGTAGGGAATGTGGAAAAGTTTTCATTCATCCCAGTTCATTTCAGATACATGAAAGCAGCCACACTGGAGAGAAACCCTATGGATGTAGAGAATGTGGGAAAGCCTTCCCTTTGCACACTAAGTTAAAAAAACACAAAAGAATTCACACAAGAGGGACACCCTTTGGATGTGACAAATGTGATAATGCTTTTATTTCTCTTCGAGTTTTCCAAATACATGAAAGGATTCAAACTAGAGAGAAACTCTATGAATGTATAAAATGCAGTAAAGTATTCTGTTTTCCCAGTTCTCTTTGAGGGCATGAAAGACCTCATACTGGAGAGAAACCCTATGAATGTAAGGAATGTGGGAAAGCCTTTATATCTCCCTCAAGGCTTCGATCACACATGATTTTTCACACTGGAGATGGACCTTATAAATATAAGAAATGTGAGAAACTATTCATTTCTTTCAGTGTATTTCAAGTACATGAAAGGAGTCACACTGGAGACAAACCCTATGAATGTAAAGAATTCAGTAAAGCATTCACTTCTTCCACTGCTCTTCGAAAACATGAAAGAACTCATACTAGAGAGAAACGCTATGAATGTAAAAAGTGCAGTAAAGCATTCACTACTTCCAGTTATCTTCGAAGTCATGAAAGAATTCATACTGGAGAGAAACCCTATGAATGCAAAAAATGCAGTAAAGCATTCACTTCTTCCAGTTATCTTCGAAGTCATGAAAGAACTCATACTGGAGAGAAACCCTATGAATGCAAAAAATGCAGTAAAGCATTCACTTCTTCCAGTTATCTTCGAAGTCATGAAAGAACTCATACTGGAGAGAAACCCTATGAATGTAAAAAATGCAGTAAAGCATTCACTTGTTCCAGTTATCTTCGAAAATATGAACGAACTCACACTGGAGAGAAACCCTATGAATGTAAGGATTGTGGGAAAGCCTTTACAGATCCCTCAAGCCTTTGATCACACAGCATGATTCACACAGGAGCTAGTCCTCATAAATATAAGGAATGTGAGGAAGCATTCACGTATCCCAGATTACTTCAAAGACATGAAAGAAGTCACCCTAGAGAGAAAACCTATGCATGTAAAGAACATGGGAAAGCCTTCAGTTCGCATCAAAGCTTCTAAATACATAAAAGAAATCATACTGGATAGAAACCATATGAATGTGCAAAATGTAGTGAAGCATTTGGTTTTCCAGTTCTCTTTGAAGATATGAAAGAACTCATGCTGGAGAGAAACCTATGAATGATAGGAAAGTGGGAAAACCTTTATTTTTCATGCAAACTTTTGAGGATGTGGGAGAATGCATGCTAGAGGAAACAACATATGTAATGAATGTGGGAAAGCCTTTTGTCATCCCAGTTCTTAGTGAAGGCATAAAGAGTCAGTTGATTAAAATGTCTTGAATGGGGGCCGGTCTGGTGGCACAGCGGTTAAGTTCGCATGTTCCACTTCTTGGTGGCCCGGGGTTCGCCAGTTTGGATCCCAGGTGTGGACATGGCACCACTTGGCACACCGTGCTGTGGTAGGCGTCCCACATAGAAAGTAGAGGAAGATGGGCACGGATGTCAGCTCAGGGCCAGGCTTCCTTAGCAAAAAGAGGAGGACTGGCAGTAGTTACCTCAGGGCTAATCTTCCTCAAAAAAAAAAAAAAAAAAGCACTGAATGTAAACAATATGGGAAAGTCTTCAAATGTCTTACACCATTATATGTGAAATTCTCACCAAAAAGAAATATAAATATAAGTCATATAAGCTTCATGGAAATTAATTTGTGTAGGCTGTTCTAGAAAACATGACAGAGTTGTTATGAAGTTTGTAAATATATTGTGTTTACCAAGCATCTTTCTTAAAGTGCAACATTTGATTGTGGATTTCTATTAAGAACTTTCAGAAATGAATATTGATGTGAGATAATTCTGCAAGTCATCCTTCACCAACAGTATATAAGATTACTAAGTATTGGTTTTTCCTTAAATCAACTAATAATATTTTCTCTTCAACTTTTTTATAAATATTCGTTTTTCTGTATTTAGAGGCCATTCAAAAATGACAGTTTGTTGGCATTTTCTTACTGTCCTTGTATTGCAGTTCCTGGATATGCCTAATCCATTGTGTATATTGTTTAATAAAGAGCAAAATTAATTACCAGTCTTCCTTGTTTTAATGTTAACTTATGTATTGCAGGAGTGTCGTTCAAATGGGCACCACAAGAGGGTTCTTTTTGATGATGGCACATTTTCCATTTTTTGGTGGCAGGATTACTATACATTTGTGAAAATTCAGAAGTATACATAATTTTATGTATTTATATAGTTAATAGAAAATGAATAATGGAATCACTTTCATATGTTAGGAGAATGTTAAACTCTTCTGACCCTTGATTCTTATGCATTCAGCACTTCTTTCTAGCCTGCAGCATCCTTCTTGGGAAGATTGCAGGACTGAGAAGAAGGACTCAGTCCTCAACAGGCCTTTCTTGCAACCCTGTCTTAACTGGATGAAACACACCGTAGGGCTGCACCTGCCCTCAGCTCATTCTCAGAACAGGAGTGAAGTGAGAGGGCTCCCAGACTCTGTCCTTGAGTTTAAATCAGGCTCCTGGACAGGTCTGTAGAAATACTGTGGTTCTGAAACAAAAAGGCGTCTCTCAAGTGAGATCTGTCTGGGGACATCCTCATTCGTGTGCCTCAGCATCAGTTCTTTCCCTTATTATCCATAGAGCATTTCCAGCTCTTCATTTCCCTCCTCAAGCCTACTTGTGCCTGAGTATCTGGAGACATCTTCAGAAATCCATGCAGATCCCACTTTGGAAAATTCCCCTGAGACAATGCCAGGGGCCTGTGGGCTGAGAGGGTCACAGAAACAGTGATAGAACCCATGTCATGGGCACATTCTATGAACAACAGCTGTTCCAGATTTATCAGCTCTGCTTATTTGTTCAGCTACTTAAAAGTGACTGACTTTGAATGAGGAAACGAATGGCTCTAGAATTTCTCAGATTAAGTCCCTCCACTCGAGTCTCCATCCCATGCCCCTCTCCCATAGAGGTTGTAGCAGCCTCCCAGTATGCGTCCAAGAGCTCCAGACCTCCCACAGTGGACATCAATTGCCCAAGGCATTCTACCAGAAACTTCTCATCCAGTGCTGCACACAATTAGAGAAGCCACTAATGGAGTCTTTTTGTAAATGGATGCTGTCCCAGGGCCTGAGCGGATGATCCTCCACAGCCAGCTTCCCTTTTTTTTTTTTTCTTTTTTTTTAAAGATTTTATTTTTTTTCCTTTTTCTCCCCAAAGCCCCCTCGTACATAGTTGTATATTCTTTGTTGTGGGTCCTTCCAGTTGTGGCATGTGGGACGCTGCCTCAGCGTGGTTTGATGAGCAGTGCCATGTCCGCGCCCAGGATTCGAACCAACGAAACACTGGGCCGCCTGCAGCGGAGCACACGAACCTAACCACTCTGCAACGGGGCCAGCCCCCAGCTTCCCTTTTTGCCTTGGGTCGTGAATGCAGGACCCCTCAAGTTAGGTAACCAGAGGCCTCGTCATTGAAGAGATGGGTACTTACAGCATAGAGCCAAAAATGGCGCTTCTGGCATATCACCCTACAGGAGGGAGTGTGTTCCCCTCTTCTCTGATTGATGGAGGAGGGCCCCTCCTTTTTAGACACATTGGCCACTTTGGCAGTGACTTAGGAGCACATGAATGACCCGGGAGTTCTTATACTTTATGCACAGTGTGCTCCACCGCACCTGATGGGGTCCACTATGGAGCTGTGGATCAGAGCAAACAGGCCCTCCCTGATCACAGACTGGATCGGATGGATTAGTCAAAGGCCAGGTAATTGTGCCAGCTATAGAGAATCCCCTGGCCAAGAATCAGACTCATCTGCACAATTTTATAGATTCTTTGCCCACTGCCACTGATCTAGCTGTCTCATCCCACCAGTAGCAACACCTCCTTACCCAAGGTCACGTCCTGTGCCATCAAGAACTCTGGGATAGCTTGCCTCACATACCCAAGTACAAATCAAATCCTTGCTCTGCACACGTTACACCTCAGTCTGCAGGGGCTTATTTCATTGCTCAGGGTGATAAATTCACTCAGATTTCTGAGACACATACTGCCATCTCAGACCTAATGGCATTAATCTTGGCCCAGGGGCCCCTGTAACACAAAATCTTTAAGAGGCCTCTAACCTAAAGATATAGGCAAAATTTGAAGGACTCCCCCTCCTACTATGGAGAACTTAGTCAGTGACCAATGCACTTGGTGTGAAAAAAACGTGTCACGGGTAATATAATCCATGCGTGTTAAGTTCAGGTGGAGGAGGGGTCCCTACAGCTGATGGCAGATGGACTTTGTCGGGCTGCGCACCCCCTCTGCTGGGCTGCTTGCTACGCTCAGACTATGGTAGGACCTTTTATAGACAAATCACTCCTGTAATTTCTGAAGCCAGAATCAAGGACTCACCAAGACACTGGAAATTATTGATATTACCAACTAATGTCTCAAAATATAAAACGATGGGCTCTTGAGAAAGGCATTCAATGGATCTTGTACCTCTCACGACCCAGGCTGCAGCGCTCTTAGGATGGCTGAGGCTTACTTAGACAAACCTTGCTCTCTTCTAAATAGATGTTCCTGCTGTTGGAGTTACATTCAATCCCCAGACTGTGGGGCTTATGACTTTGTTCTGATCATCAGAGTTACTGGCTCCTTGTGAGTAGAGCCTTTCTATACTAGACATGAATGTCAGAACGGTCACTCCTACAGGTCTTTGGTTTACTGTAATCGTGCCCCCTGGCCACCACTCTCATATCCCACTCCTGGGTCTTCCTCCTACATCGCCTGTAGTCTGTGCCCTGTGTGTTAGTATTTCATTTTAGGCACCTGCCTTCAAAACCCCTTCCCTCCATTCAGCACAAATGTGCTGTTTTCCTACCATTACCATGCTCCTTGTCATGGGAGTCACTGGTACTGACCTCGGCACACGTGATGTCACTCAACAAACACATCCTAAATGCCAATCAAGAACTGTCCAGAACACTGAAAATACTTGCAACAGACACAGCTAGTGTTTGAGATGTTTTCCCTGAAGGAAAACCCCCTGGCAGCCATGTAGCTGATGACTACTTGGGTTTGGACTATTTATTAACCAGCCAGGGAGAGCTCTGTTCCCTAAAAGTGCTGCTTGCTGCATGTGGGCAGGCTGCACGGGCAGGGGACCATCAAGAACACAACAAATTAACGCTACTAGAATATTTGAAGAGTTTTGGAGCCACACTGACACACTTTCCGGGATCTCTCCAACAGCCTTGGATAACTGGATTC